ATAGACTCACAATGGTAACAAGTGGAAAATAATATTTACAAATGTGTACAATGATTTGTAGGTAATGCTACTCAAGACACCTGACTTATACATCTTCAAAGGAAGACTGTGTTCATTCTACAATTACATGGGATTAAAGCAACATGTAGTTTTACTTGTATAATACTTCCATTTTATATAAAGACAGTTTGTTTTCATCTGTTTTCAAATAAACAAAGTCTTGGCTTTCAGAATATTAAACTTGTTTCAGCAAATTCATATGATAAATACAACTTTGAAGCTTCGGCATAATTACAAGCGGAGAACGGAGTAACTTAACGTCACAGCAGGCATAACAACAGCTGGTGTTTCTTGTGAGTGTTTCCCCGGGAAACAAACGCAAAAATACACAAACACACTCGCGAGCTTCCCCTAGACCAGTAATACAAACGAAAATGTGTCTTCGGGTCAATGTGACTGATTTCGATAGAGCAAGTCACATTTGGTTTAGGCACGAAACATACTACCAGTAGAAATACATTGCTTTCAAAATCGCTCTGTGTCGAATCAATAGATTATATTTCGTGACTATAACACGAAATGCCGTGAGTGCTTCATCCTCTGAACACCGCAGGATGGCGACTGTAACGCACATAACATAGGTACGCTCCTCTGAAATGATTGTCCCCTGCAATTATTATTATCCCTCAATCGAGTTCGCTATTCAGCTCGCTAACGTTAGCTTCAACAAACGTAACATGCAACGTTAGCCTAATCTAAAATGCTCTACTCCGGCGTACCTTTCATGTGGCTCGTCAGCGCAGACTCTCGCATCGTTATTTTTGCAAACTTTGCAGGAGGCTACTCGTGGGCTTGACCCTCGTCTTAGCCATGGCTTGTATTTGTCTTCTGCTAGCCAACGCTCGTTGAAACTGCAACCTCCTGGCACACAGTCATCTATCACTCTCATCAGAATGCCCAGGTCACACGTAACACAAACACTTGCAGGTCGCGCGCATAGCGCGGGAAGGCCGCAGCGGAGCTGTTTTATTTAGAAGCGAAGCAATTCTTTTCTTTTAATCTAAAAAGCGAACTATTCAGTCAGACAGCAATTTATTGTAAAAGTAAAGCATTTACATTTTCAAGCACTTTATCTCAATTTCAAGCACCATTACCAAAATGCAAGCACTTTCCCAACCTTGAAAACACCACCTCAAATTTCAAGCATTTTCAAGGATTTCAAGCACCCGTACGAACCCTGGATATAGCTATAATCCTTTTTTTCTGTCACTTGAATATCAAAGTGAGCAGAGATCAGGGAACAGACGTGACAGCAACACCAAACACGGAGCAGTCTGCTTTATCCACCAACACCAGTCCAGAACCAACAGCAGAAGGACCCGCTCTGAATCACTCCGTGTCGCTGCGGCTCAGAGGCTCAGGGATTTATGTTTTAAAAAAATACTCGCGTTACAATCATGTCAGGTTTTTGGTGGATTTCATTACGTCTTGGATTGCAAAGTATGAATGTCCTCTTGCAATTCTCAGACGATATATACGTGTGTAAAGTTTGTGAAGGCAGGAGGAAAGGCTTCCGCGATCACCGTCTCCTCTCCGTTCCTCCAAACCCCGCCCCCTCCCTGAAAATAATGAGTGACAGGCTGATAGTGACCCGATAGAAACTTTATTATTCACTTAATCACTGAGATATAATGAAGCTAACTTAATCTCATACATTCATGGGATTTATGCAACAGTAAGACAGAGAATGTAAGTGTGCACCCACATGCAGTATTTTAGTTGTTATATGCTGTTGTAAATACTCCTGTTGTCTGCTGTGTTCAGACTCAAGTCCTGTGTGTGATGCCACATTCAGGACATTCAGTGTCCTTTTTCTAACAGAAGACCGTTGCTAGAAGCTGCAGCTAAACTGCAGAAGCATTAGTTTTTAGTTTTTGAGGATGGAACAATTTCACACATAGATATAGGGAGGCTAGACCTATACAATTCATTTATTTTGGTTTATAAATGAATGTCAAGACATTTATGTTATTGATTTCTGAAGCACTTTCTAAATAATAAAAAGAGAGTTCATATGTATTTACTGCATGTATGCATTGATGAAAAATAAGCCATGTGCAGTAATATAGAACATTGAGGATGCAACGCATTGATATGAATCGTGATGCATCGGGATATCGAATCGGTGACAGGATAATCCTAATCGAATTGTGAGACCAGTGAAGATGCACAGCCCTATGGTTAACACTTCACTTTTAAAATAGACATACAGTACTGCCTAACAGTCCAGATTTACGTAACAGAATGTTTTAGCTGCGAAATTAATGATACAGTACCAATAACAATCGCTACCATAAAACACCAAATTGACAGAGTTCAATGACAAAAAGTCTTTGGTGCCTATTCAGAACCAACATTTTAATTTGCTCAACAAAGCCACCCCAGCTGTCTGTGTAACAAGCTGGATCCTAGCTCCCTGAGGTCAACTCGCTTTTTACTGGGACTCTGGCACTTGAGCTGAAAGCCTTGATGGTGAGGGAGCACAGTTAATCGACTTTCTTTCTACCCTGAGCTGTTGTTGTACAAAATTATTATAGATTCTTAAAAAAATATATCCTTGCCGGGGCTCTTTTGTGCGTACAACAGCGGCAGCTACCAAAAACATGGCCTTCATACTGAAATGCAATTTCACAAGCTCCTCGACAGACAACGACCGCCTTTTTTGCCGCAACAATGGCCGCCCGCTTCCATACCAATTTGGCCGACCGGTGTGGAACAATAGGGCGGCAGCAGAGGTGACAGGTAATTTAAAAGGGTCAAAGGGGAAGCTGTAGGAAGCGACTGTCCAGCTCGATTCCCACCAACGTGGATCACAGGTAGCAGCACAGATATACTAACATAGAAAACCCTTCTTTGTAGGTTAGGCTTGAAAATACAACATATTGTAATAAAGAAACGGCATCATTCAGAGCAGAATTATTAGTAATGCGTGAATTTAACTTGAATGAATATGTTTGATATTCAATTTATTGTACTTTGAGGTCCTGTCCCTAAAACGCTGCTCTGTGCTTTGGTGTAGCTTCTAAAAACACAACTTACTCAAAGAATGTGCAAATTCCTCAGGTTTGCAATGTACTTCACAAATAAAAGACTGTTTCAGGAACAGCATGTGCTCTCTGTTGCGAAGAACACATTATTTCATTAAAATTCACCTTGTTCTGACTCTTTCTGAAACATAAAACCGTTTGTAGAAGCTACAAAAAAAAAGGTGTAAAATAGATCAAAAGAAAAAAATGTATTTGCTTGAGTTGAATGATGTTTTCCACAGTCTGTGTGTGTCCGCTGAGAGTTAGTGCGCTCCAGCTGTTAGGATCCAGTCGAACTGACTTGTTGAGGACCCTGGCTCCCACTAGTGCAGCACACAGGCCCAGAGGTGGTGAGACACAGAGCGGCACGGCGGAGGAGGCGAGGGACGGAAACAGATAGCGATGGAAAGACAAAAGAACGTCAGAGCAGTGGCTGCTGAACCCCGCGCAGCTGCTCTTGTTCTTCAGGGAACCCAGCCAGGAAGCATCGCTCAGGCGCCTTAATTCCGCTAATGTGTGCAGTGATGCAGTGTGCAGGGTGGGGGTGGATTGCTGTGGCATTAATCCCACAAACTCTAAATATGTGGCTGAGAGACTGATTGGGGACCAGCCTCACTGGCCTCTGGCCACTGGGCTGAGCTGAGGCGGTCAGTGGGACTGAGAGTGGCGATGCCCACCACCCTGATCAGCTACAGCCTGTTAGGAGGCCTCTCAACATGCCAGCACAACGTAAGAGAAGAGCAGGGAGGCAGGAACAGAAGGTGTGGGAGTGTGTAAGTATGGAAAGGGGTCGAGGGGCGGGGGTAGAATATCTATATGGTTGACTGACCTGGCAAGGATGGCTCAGGTGGCCTGAGTGAAGTGAGAGGACATAATCTAATAGTAGGCAGACAGGCTGTCAAATATGAATGCAACCTGCTGCAACACAACTCAAATACTTTTTTAAGTGAATTTCTTCACTTGATCTCACTGTGAACAAGTACAGAATATGAAATGTATTTCAAATGTTTTTCTTTTTACTTTCTTTCTCAGTTCCCTTATGGCCAAGATGCTAACATGGTGGACACAACTACAACTAGGAACTCACAATTATATTTGACATATTTGATCATATTCCTATTGCAATTTTCTTCCATTCATCTTTCATTTTATTTCACATATATTGTACATATTTAGTATATTTTTCCTACTTTTATTTGCACATTTCTTTTAGTCTATATTTAGTTTCTTGTTTTTCGTAGTTATTATAATTTAATTCCCTATTGCTAGGTTTATGTTATGCATCATGGAAAGCAAATTTCATTTAGGTGAAAGCCGAAGCAATAAACCGCGTTCTGTTGCCCATGTTATACCCATAAGAAGGCATTAAAGAAAAACTGCAAGCCCTCAGCATAAAGAGAAGTATCCATTCATAAGAAATAACACCCCTATTACCGGGGGTTCACACTGCAATATTCCCTCATAACACACATGTTAGCTGCCTCTATACTGAGAATGACAGGTAAGATCCAAGGATTTAGATGACCACTACCACCAGGGGGAGCATGTGTACTGCAGTCAGATGGGTGGATCACTGACAGTAAAACACTTGAAACTATATGACCAGTTATTTCCATTCCTTTCATTCATATTCCATTCATATTCAGCTAGACAGTCATTGTGCTCTGGTGCATAGGCACTGCAGACACATATTATACAAAATGATGTACCATTATCTCAATAATCTCAACATGAGTACCGGTACAGGTTGTCCGTGTCAGAGGCCACTCGTTTTCTACTTTGACTGACAAGGTTGTTTAAGTTAAAAACACTTTTGATTACATCCCTGAAGCGAAGATGCATTGTCTGTAACCAAAGCTTTCATCAGTAAAGGGCTAGACCTCCAGGATTTTGCCGTGTTGAGGAACACATTACCTGATGTAGCCTTGACGGAGTGCTTTTGTAAAAAGTCCAGCGTCTGAGCCAAAGCCTTCTTGTTGCAGTGAGTGGAGAGCTCCTCATTACATTCATAACACCTGACACAATGAGACAAACAGGAATTTAAGTTTCTGTGGTTTCTGTAAAATATAATATGGTAAATGATATATAGGTCTGGAAATATGTATAGAAAACACAATGCCATTTTCTTTTTATGTAAAGCCAAAGATGGAGGCATCTTGACGTGTGTCATAGCAAGGTTACACACATTGGCAGTGTGTATAGGCTTGTTTTTTTATAAAGTTGACAATAAATGCAATTTGAGGTTTCTCACCAGGCCTTCCACGTGCTCAGGCTGATGGTGATGCAGTGAGACTCCGGATTGAAAGCTTGGTGGTGCTTTTCAGAGTGCTGGACCCCAGACTGGTTACAGCCCTGTAAGAAAGAACATTTTATTTTGTTTAAAGATAAAAATCTTTGTTAACAAGTTTATCATATATTCTCAGACAAAATAAGAAAACTACTTCCATTAGTGTTAACGTACAGCATGCAATTTAAAAAAAAGGCAGCACTAGGGACATTTGGCACATTTCACACGTTACAAAACAATTTAATCTTTGTCCACAGGGATCATTTAAAAATGTGCATTGAGCTGTCAACAACGGAGCAGACATACTTGTGTTTGCACGCGCTTCTGTAACAGTCTGGTTCAACAAGCACATTTTGTTGTCCTGTCATAGTGGACTTAATATTACTTTAAAGCCTTAATCTGGAGATACCAATGACGCACCAATGTCATTGTGCAGCCCGAGTTTGCACTGATTACTATTGAAAAATACAATTACAAATATTTGTTACCTGGAAGCCACACTTTAAGCACACAAGGATGTCATGGGATGCTGCTGGCTCTTCATCGATCATGGTCCTCTCCTTAAGGCACTCAGAGCACACCACCCACACGTTGGAGAGCACCGACTTCTTCACTGAGCTCAGGTCCACTGCTTTACTCACATGCTGGCATGTCAACCCTGGTTTAAAACAAAATATGCTGTAATGACACATTTACCCTTTCAAATGTAGCTTTCAAAAAAACTTTTAGGAACATTTGTACAATTCTCAGTGATTATGTTTTGAAAGGGGGACGATGTGCACAGCACCTACAATGAATAACATGAGATGGGACATCCCCACACAATCAGAAAGACAAGTACCTTCATAAAATCCATTGTAAGGTACACATGCCATTATGGGTATTCATACAGATTGTTGTCCTGCTGTTTTTTTTTAAACGATTGCAGTTTAGTTGAAACCAATGCTGTGTTTAAATACTTTAATTAGTAAAGGGCAGGGGATTCATATACTTGGTACATTTTTTAATAAACTTGGTGAACATTTTTACAAAAGTAAATATACAGCCCCAATGTCAACAGTCTGGTGCACTGTGCTGTTTCAGTGACTTACCGCTGACTTCATCTGATGACTCCTCATCTCGAGGTTTCCTCGGTTTATTAGTCCGCTTAGTCATATCGGCGGCTTTCAAAGAGAAGGGGTCCTTTAGCCGCATCTGAATAAAAAAATGAAGGGCAAACATAGGTGTTGCTTTACGTAAACAAACTATCTTAACATGTGTTTCAACAAAAGTACTTGAATGTAGCAACACTTGGACAAGGCTATACCTACCATGATAATTGTACTTATTGGAGCACACAATATATTGAAAGCTAGCTAGAGGGCAATCAAAAATACATGTACATTAACATGATTATGGTTGCTTTTTGCACTTGGCACAGTAGATCTAAAATGAATCAGTGGTTGCAAGCCAACCTAATGTGTTGTTTTGAGGGTATTTACTTAGCACCTGATTACATCTGATCTCTTTTAATGCATAGTCCTGACTTTTAAGAAACTCAATTTCAAATAAAATGTATAAAATGTCAATGTAACCAATGACTTAGCTCTACCTCCTAATGACATCAACAGATATTTCTATTTTCCTTGTTGATTAACTGCTGACATTTTTAGTTCATGCTGGTTTAAGGGGTTTTACACCCTCAGTTTGACTGGTTAAACACTTCTTAGGTGGAGTGGATGACTTTGCCTGATAAGAATATGCCACTGTTTGGACCTTATAATTATATAGTAGGTAATACGTCTAAGATAGATATCCAAAAAAATCGTCCTCAAATGTTAGGGTCTGTTTAAAACTGTTTATACACTGTCATTCCTAAATACATTGTAGCACCCCAAAGCACCCTTCAAAAATCACTTATCCCTAGCCACATTACTATTTCAAAACCATTGTTTACTAAAGCCAAAACAACTAAATATGCAACTGTCCAAATAGTTCATAGTACGTCACTAAGAATAAATATAGCTAGCCAAATAAAATATGATACCATGTTAAGAGATAACAAACGTTACATAGTAGTGTCTGGTTATGAAGCCCCAAGCAATCTCGATAGTCCAATTGAGATGAGCACGAGAGGACCTACATTGAAACAATAAATAACTTCCCCACAGTTGTATTTGGTAAAGCTGTATGAACTCACCTCTTAATATTAGCTCCTATGTTGACTGTTAGCTAACCTGAAGCCAACAGTGAGATGTCAACTCTTCCTGGCTAGCAAACAGGCTAGCTACATTAGCTTGTCAGAATAAATACAACATTAACACGTGTGTTTTATCCAACAATAAACGGAGATGTTAAGACATGTCAGTGCAAACTACAGAGTACCGATAATAACAGCATCATTTTCTTAATAATTGTTCGTGTTGGCCTTTGACTCTCTAAAACTGTTTAAGCTTTCGGTTGCATCAACTGGCAGTCCTAGTCAACATGTGACGCACTACGGCAACTCAGCTTGGCCTAATGCTGCATTCACGTTCAATGGGAAATGTCTTAGAAAAAGGCAAAGCGTACCAGTTTCTGAGGCATTCAGGAGCCTTTCCAACGTTTTAAAACCATGGAACTATGGGGATTGGTTTGTTCGTATGTTCTATTTAAAGACACGGGTTTTGGTGTCCTTATGTGTCGTACTATAAGTGCAAACTGAATTATTATGTCAAGCATTTCTGTTTATTTTATGTGAAATTAGTGGTATCTTCAAAACTCATTGTTAAATTAGTGTTCAGAAAAAAAAGCCATGCATGCCCCTAAAACCGGCATATGCAATGATGGAAGTATCATGATAACTCTTGATATTAAATAAATGGACTTATGTGGAGAGAGCTCTGCCGGATTTCCTATGACCATGTGCATTATTTAATATATCTTATTATCTCTTCGATCAAACTTTGATGCAAAAGTGATTGCCCCTTAGAGAACATAGCACTGACGTGTGTTGGTAATGGTTTGACCTTTGATATATTAGGTACAATAACTTTGATAAGAGCAGTTTATGAGAGGCCAGAGCCGTTTACTCTGGGAGAGGGTATTTTAGACCTTGAAGGGATCAGTATCCGTACTTCTGCGCATGCGCATGTCCTTGTTGGCAGGGTGAGCAGTTAGAATTTTAGTAGCTGTAGCTCGCTGTATAATTGCGAAATTAGGGTTTTATGTTGACGAAGTGTTAATATAAACTGTAAACCAGGGTGTAACTGTTCACTCATGGCTCTCAGAAGGTGTTGGAGGTTTGCAGCAGTTGTTCCGAGGCTGTTATGGAACAGTACCGTCCTGCCTGGAGGACGAAGCTCTGTGTCCAGCCTTGTCAACACTCACCACGATTGCAAACGTGAGCTTTACATTATATTATTATTATTACTACATTAACGGTGTACAATTTCCAAACAAGTTCTCCCGTCTCTAGGCTACTGTCCATTTAAATGTCAGCTGGTTGGCTCGTGACTCACTATAATGTTGTGAAAATGTTCATGCTGTCTGTTTTGCTCAATGGTGCAATGTTATGAAGTACATTTACTCATACTATTCTAAAGTTCATTTTGGAGGTACTTGCATTTAACTGAGCCTTTTCATTTAATACTACTTTAAACGTATTACTCAACTACGTTTTGGAAGTTAGTTACTAAACAGATGCAGTCATTATTTACAAAACATAAATCAATTAATAAACATTGCAATATAATGTAAGGTTAAGATATGTAGGAGCAATATAGATAAAAGGAGGCGTGTGGCGCAGTGGAGAGAGCCTTGGTGTGGATCACAGGTTCAAACCCCACTGCAGTCAGCATGTTGTTGGGCAAGACACTTCACCCCAAATTGTTCCTGTGGGGATTGTCCACAGTATTGAGTATGTAAGTAGCTTTACCATCAATGAGGAACACATTTATGCATCATAATCCAGTAGTTTAATATATAAGATTATGAAATTGGCTATTGCCTATAATGGTAATGGTAATTTAAGTACATATTTTGATATCAACACTTTTGTACTTGTAGGACTTTGAAGCAGGACTTTTACTTGTAAGAGTATTTTCAAAAGTTGATATTGCCTCTTTCACTATAGTGCTTCTTCCACCTCTGGTTTTGCTTTCAGACACAGAGTTGCTGCTCCGCGGGTTCAGTTCAGCGCCACCGAGCACAGATGTGAGTTATGAGCAGCTGAAGCAGCTCCTGTCTTGCAGGAAGGCTGTGGTAATAGATGTGAGGGAGCCATGGGAGCTCAGGGAGTATGGCTCCATCCCCGGGTCAATTAACGTCCCCCGTGAGTGTTACACTTCCTAAAATAATCAGAAAATGTGTGTTAGGTTGGCATGAATATAACGTCAGATCCAATCCCTACTCCTCCAGGTGGCTTCTCCACACTTCAAAACGCAGTGATAGCTCATAATCTGTGTGCATAAATAGATGCACTTTATGCTGGCAAGTGGTTAAATTAGTTGGTATATGATTATTCTAAGACCCACATCCAAGCACAAATTATAACAATAACAGCCCTGTCTATAAGATGGACTTTTATTAATCCCTCATGGGGAAATTATTTCTCTGCATTTGACCCATCCTAGTGTTAGGAGCAGTGTGCTGCCATTTTGAACGGCGCCCGGGGAGCAGTGTGGGGAACGGTGCCTTGCTCAGGGACACCTCGGTAGCACTTGGTCTTGCCGGGACTTGAACTGGTGACCTTCCAGTTGCCAAGCCAAGTCCCTATCGACTTCGATAAGTATTATGGAGTGTGCACTGTTACTTTGCGAGTTCACCTTGTCGTTGAGCAAGGCACATGTATAGTAGCTTTCCACTCCTCCTAATACATGGATGGGTTACATACAGACTCTCCATTTCAGTGTGCAGTGCTGTGTACTCCCCCTTGGGAGTCCCATCCCCTACAGTAGGTTGAGAACCACTGTGTTACTGGTATGTTATCAGGGGTCATTAAAAATGTCCTAAATCATCACACAAAACATTTATACATCAGCACGCACACCCAGGGCTCTGTTGGAGCTGCTTGGTTTCCTCAGTCTCAGTTTATAATAGCAGGCCATTAATTAAGGAAACATAATATGGAAAGACAATACTACATTCCCAGTTTAGAAGTCTACTTAAAAACGTTCCTAATGGTTGACATTCTGATTTGACTCACAATTGTTCCCAGACCCATTCAAGTTTGGTTTTACCTAATAACATATATTTAAAGTACGACTTCTAATACTACATTTGTATGTGCTGGTTTGATTTTGCAGTGGCACAGGTGGGGAATGCCCTCCAGCTGGATGCAGAAGAGTTCAATGAAAAGTACGGAGGTGAAATGCCCCAGCAGACAGATAACATCGTGTTCACCTGTCTGGCAGGGATCAGGAGCAAAAACGCCCTAGACACAGCCACCTCCCTGGGATACAAAGAGTGAGACATGTTTCCCTGCCATAAATCTATCAAAGATAATTACTTCTCACCTCATCGTTAAATTAATAAATTACCAAAGTATTCTAGCCATGTACAACGAATAAGGTTTGTTGTTTCTTGTTAAAACCATTTTTTTATCACAGGCAAAGGCTATTGTACCAGTCAAATGTTATGGCTAAGTTCATATCTCACATTTCATAGTGAGCCAGTGATAAGTCTCACCAACTTGAGGTTACTGACCTGTGCGTGAGGACAACCCATCATGCAATGCTCTTTTCATAGAGTGCCAGTGTCTGACTGTAAAGAAGGGAAGAAATGGTAATTAGCTCAAAATGCTACCAATATATGCCTTTTTAAATGCAGCATAATACAATGTTGATCCAGGAAAGTAAAACTAGTGCAGTTTTATTTTTGAGTCACTTGTGTTTATGCAACATTTCATTCACTTTCTTCCCTTTTCTCTCCCTTTCAGTGTTCATAATTACCTGGGTGGATGGCAAGACTGGTCGAAAAATGAGCAGCAGGACTGATCTGAGGATAAAGAAAAAGAAATATATTTAAAGCCTTTACTCAAGATCTGACTGGCAAGTGAGAGTGCGTAACGAGGAGGGGTTTTAAAAGGTTCCTTATTTTTTAAGTTGTTTTTAAGAGCCAGTTCTAAAAAGAAAATCTTGTCTGTGAATCCCAAAGACTGAAATAGGAGGGCCCAGAACACTTCTCTGCTGCTGATTGTATTAAAAAATACTGCAATGTCACTTGAAGTTACTTGTACATTAATTAATTTATCTTTTAAAACTGATAACAACTTTTAAATAGACACATATATCACCATTGATTGTTGTAAACCATACTACAATCATGAATATACGATGAATAGAGATTTTGTTTCCAGACTATGCAAATGACTGCCATCCATCTCATAATACAGATAGTTCAGCATTTCGGATCATGTGTTTTAAATATTAAATATTTTGTTTGTCATAGATGCATCTGCAGTTGTTGCCAAACTCATTCAATAAATACTAATATAATTTTTGATTAACACTGATATTCGGAGTGTGTTTTGTATTTTTTTTTTGTACAATTTATAAATGGAGGAAGAAGTTCTGAAATATTTTACTTTAAGGGGCCCTATTTTTAGGGGGCTTTTCCCTTTTCTGTAGTGTGTTATATGGATTTTTGTGCATGTAAATGGTCTGCCAAGGCTAACATCACAAAGTTCTCTCCAGTGGGAGTTTCTCTCCCACAAACTCCCCCCATGCCTGAAACGCCTCCATTGGACTCCTTTGTTTACTCCACCAACATAGTGACATAACTACGCAACACTGGCGCTCCTATTGGCTAGCGCTCCAACACATTGTAAGTGATATGATAAGGGGCCGGACATTTCACACACATTGAGCTGCTGACCAATCGCAACAGAGCCGACCAGCTAACCAATCGGAGCAGACTGGGCTCTGGTTTCAGACAGAGGGGTGAAAAGAGGTGCTGCAGCACAGGCAGTATGAGGAAAATAAAGAGCTTCTTGAACATTAAAGTATGTAAACATGTCACAGTAGAGACAAAAAATACAAATATGAACCTAAAAATGTGCATAATAGGGCCCCTTTAGTACAAGTAGCAATACGACTGTGTAAAAATACTATAAGTCTTGCATTCAGTATCTAACTTCATTCCATTTTTATAGTACAGAAATAGTACTGAAAACATACTTCAAGGGCAAAAAGTATAGTACTCATTCTACATAATAGCCCATTCCAGAATCATATACATTATATATTCCTGGATTACAGTTATTGATCCATGAATGTGTTTATCATTTCATTATTGCAGCTGGTAAAAGTGTATGTAATTTGTATTATTTATTGTATGAATTGATTGATGGGTAGCTCAATCAATAATAAACACTTTTTATAATAACTTTTTAGAATGTGTGTTAATAATCAAAAAATTCAAAGTAACTTAAGCTGCCAAATAAATATAATAGAGTAAAAGGTATCATATTTACCTTTAACATGTAGTGGAGTATAAGTATAATGTGGAAGAAATTGCCCAAGTAAAGTAGCTCAAA